CCGCGTCAGGGGCCGCGGCAGGGCCGCGTCAGGGCGCCGCCAGGGGCCGCGTCAGGCCGCGTCAGGGCCGCGTCAGGGCGCCACCAGGGGGCGCGTCAGGGGCCGCGATAGGGCCCCGGCAGGGGCCTCGTCAGGGCGCCGCCAGGGGCCGTATAGGGGGCGCGTGGGAGGCGGCGTAGGGGCCGCGTAGGGGCAGCGTAGGGGCCGCTAAAAAAAAAATTTTTTAGGGCAGGGCGCAATGTGCGCGGGCAGCTAAAAAAAAAAAATCTTATGGTGGGCCCTTAGGAAGGAACGGTCCCATGTAGGAACCCGCTCTATACCATGTGAATCAAGAAAACAGGAATGAAATGACTAAGTGAAAGTTGGGTACAAAAGGCAAACCCTAGGCAACTGTACCCCATATGTGCTACCCCACTGTAGCCTACAGTAGCTATGTCATATAACTCTGACAAATATCCCACCCACACATTACACTGTAGTGGTCGTCGGGGAAATGGACGGAGCGTCGTGGCATTTTCGCTTCCTAGAACCGTATTCTTGTTCCCTAAGCATATTTTCCTAAGGTTTTTGTCCCGATTTCTTTTCCGGGAAGAGTGCAGAGACCAATATTTCGCGGTATGGTAGGGACGGGTGATATTTAAGTCTAGGGTCCTGTTCTAGGTACATAAATTGGAACCGAAAGTTCGAGGGATTTAGGTTTATTAACAGGTCGTAACACACAAAACAGTGCGGGGAACTAGGATACGACTAGGTCTAAGGTTCGAGCGATCTGCGATATCCATCGCTACTTGTTCAGCCAAAGAGGCTGATACACCGAGTCCTCGCCAACTTCACTAGGGCCAATTTCACCCCCCCTTGTCGTTACGTGGGTCGGTGGGGTTGGGTGCTGCGCGGGGGCGTCCCCTGCAGACTCCCCTAAAAAAATGTTATGGCTAATTTCACCCCCCCGCCACTACAGACAAGATTGAACCCCTCCAGGGGGGCGTGAAATTGCCGAGGACTCGGTGTAGAGACAACTACAGTGAACACTTTAGGGGGGCCTGGAACTGAAAGTTTGAGTGTTTTAAACCCCATACAGCTGGCTGACACAACAGTATATTTTGAGCGTGCATACATTCGAAGCAAGGGAAAGTATATGGGAAGTCACAATTAAGCCCGGTTTATCTCGTTTGGTTACAGGGGCATAACAAACAGTCACAGTACAGTAGATTTCAATCGCGGGTGATCACAGTGTTATCACGGATGGTCACACCTCGCCCCGAAAAGCTATCACGTTTGGTCACTCGTTGAAACGGTCGATAGAAAGATGAAGCTACGAAAGATACTGTAGGGATTCAAGGAAAGTTTTCTCGCGCGCGCCGTTTTGTCCGTAGTATTACGAAATAGTTTTGCGATAACTCTTGGTAACTCCCTAAAAACATCCGACAAATTCTTGTTACTATTTGATTGTCCTGTGTTCGAATGATGCCCAATGACCCTAAGACTATCACCTTTAGACGGGTAAAACTCGAAGGGAAGTTCTGTTCCGAAGACAAAAACTAAAACCCATTAGGATGGGATTTAATTCGGGATGCATCAACCCTAAACACCTTGTCGCATGGTGTTCAGGGTTGATGCCTCCCGAAGAACGTGCCATCCTATAGGGGTCTATTTTATTTTACTTCATTCCCCTAAATGTCAGGCTAGAATCATGCGCGAGGATACAAGGAATCAATATTGGAATTTCCCCAACTCTTTACAGTTTCTTTTGTGGTGTCAAAATAATTATCATCGTTTCATCGAGTGACTTAAAACCGGGGTGCACATTCAGCTGAATGTGCATCAAAGGTTATCCTTTGACTGAGTGGGTTACGAGGTGTGCTTTCAACCCCTTCAAGTCGAAATTCGTTTCCCCCCTCCCCCGCAATTTCGTTTCCCCACGCCCCCGCAATTTCATTTCCCCCTCCCCGTCGAAATTCGTTTCCCCCCTCCCCCGCAATTTTGTTTCCCCCCTCCCCCACAATTTCGTTTCCCCCCCCTCCCGCCAATCTGTTTCATCCCTCCCGCCATTCGATTTCACCCACTCCCGCCATTTCTCCCCCTCCCGCCACCTACGAAATGCCCGAAGCTCTAGCGGAATCATTTTTTTGTCGCCCCTCGTGAGCCAATCACTGTTTTTCTCCAAACCCCCTTCCCAACATCTCAAGCCGAACCGCGTTGAATGTGCACCCTGGTTTTAACGTGATAGCATTGAGAGGCGAGGTGTGACCATCCGTGATAGCACTGTGATCACCCACGATAGGAATCTACTGTAATGTGACTGTTTGTGATAGCCCTGTAACCAAACGCAAGAAAACGGCCTTAATTGTGAGTGGTCGTATACTTTCCTTTCAAAGCAAAGGCTGAGGCAGCGCGGTTCCGTTGCGAGGAACCTACAGCATTTCTACGTGGGTTTGGCCATTTGGAAGATGACATACCCCACCAAATGGAAGGGTCTTTCCTGCTTGCAAGTGCGGGAGTACTGTACAGTATTCATTCCAGCCAGAGCTGTCGATTGGCTTGGGAGAATTTGGACAAATCTAGGGCCCTCTTTTTGTATCCCTAGTGTTCATTGGTTGACTTCAAAACTCGCCTAACGGGCGAACGGGCGCACCCTTCCTTTTTGGAATAAGCATCTCATACTGGATCTGAACTGGCTAATCTTCAGATATCCCCCGAACATACATATACATACTTAGCTGGCGACCTACCTATCCCTTCTGGAACCAGTCATGCTAGTCAAGCCACTCCACAGAGTTTTAAACATTTTAGATGTCCTGAGCTGGTCGGGATCAAGCCATCTCTGGTTGAAGCCATTCCAGGCTTTGATGTATATACGTGTATACACTGGGGCACAGTTGGTTCGGACAAATACACAGAACAAGAATCTGGGGTGGGGCAAAATATACAGAAAAGATGTGATTTACAAGAAGGCAAGTATCGACTGCCTTTTTGAAAGAATGCATAGATTTTACAAAATCCGACAAGCGGTGTTCAGGTAAGCATTTGACCTTTAACCACGGGACGGGTAAGAGACGAACATGGGACATACTTCAAGTTTTTAGCAGTCTCACAGCTGTGTAAATTGCCGTTCGGTGGGACTGTGGGAGGAAGGTCCAGCAGATCAAATCGTTTTGTGTGGTGAGGGGCCTTCGAGTGGCTGGTTGTTGGTGAGCTTCCGCCCTCCAAATTCGGTGAGTGCTCCTTTGGCTGCTCTGGTCTGATTTCATTCACACTATCCCCACAACATTGCGACAGCGGCCCTAATGTTTGCACTTGGCAGTTGGCTGAGCGCCCCACGCCTGGCTGGCTACCCTTGGAACGATTCAACACCTCTACCACATGGTAGGACAAAAGATGTGAAGTCGTGGCTACACTAAAGTTTTCATAGAGTAGTTATATTTAAAAAATTAATGCTGTTAGATATTATTGCATCCCAAACCAAGCTATCATCCCTTTTTAGTCACATTTGTCTTGCTTGGTGTTGGTTCGCCTGAGGAATGACGTGTGCTATTAACATGTATATACAGCTTCAGCAGGGCGATTTCCTTTGATCCCCTTGCATTTTTATAGACCTTTTACTGATGTCAGTTGGTTTCAGGACCAATACCTCGAATGATGTGTATTCGTGTGTACCACCACTATCACGCGTGCGTTGTGCTTCCCGCCGATTGGAAGGACATGCAGTGGCTTTTCAGCAGAGCATCTCCTTTCCAGCAGCCTCCCATACAAGCTCGGTCTCACAAAAGGCACACGGCAGCGTTCGTTGAAGCCTGTTCCTGAAGTCCTACATTGCTTTTTGAAGCAGCGCGTGCAGCAACGAACGCTGTGAGCTAGGCCTTGATCGTCATCCATCCTGCTAGTACCTAGCTAATTCGAGCTAAGAATTTGGAGAACAGGGGCCTTATAATAGCAAAAGGACGCGGGAGAACTATTCGCCCGAGTCGCACGACGTGCGGATGGCGCGCTTCCGGCGCGAGAGTGTGGGACTCTCGGCGCTGTTACTTGCGTGGTGGCTGTCCGTGCTTGCAACCCTCGTAGCGGATGTCAACGCAGTGGCGCTCTCGAGCACGCAAGGTGAATGCGCCTCGCAATTCGCGGCCCGTCGCCGCCGCGAACTTACTGTACTAATAGAAAAAATTAGGGTTATCCAGGCAGCTGCATGGATCCCACGGCACGATTTACGGTGCTGTCACCGCATCATTGGCGGCGCGGTGCGATTTATTGCGGAAATCGTGACGGCCGGCGCCACCGCGCCGCGGCGCGGCGGCATTCAATTCAGGCGGGCCTGCACGCCGCCACCCGTGCACGCCGGCGTTCACGCTATCGCGGCATTGGAGTTTCTAGCGGCTCCAATCTCGAATGTTTATGACCGGATCCTTCTCCTAGCGGCGCCTCCAATAGCACCAGATCGGTTGACGCATCATGGAGCGGCCGACATTGGCGCTGATAACAGTCGGATGGCCTTTAGGGTTTAGGTTGTATTCGCACGATTTGCAGAAGCGTGTGATGGCGTTTGCTGGTGGCGCCAACGAGCTGCATTATTGCCCGGGTTGGCTGACGGGAAGGAAAGGCACGGCGCTATAGTTGTATCGCCCGCGGAGTAGTGTTAGGGGCATCCGCTGCGCGTAATAACAACCTCGTTGTGACTTAGCGGGAAGCGAGGCGCTGTACTGGTACCAGAGCCTATGGTTCGATTCCCGGTTAGGTCACATTTCTGCTATGAACGAGAACGTGAATGTGGTTACCGCCTCAGTATCACCGTCTCACTCCCACCGCCTCGGTATCTGTTGGTTGCAGGGAAATTCTTGACGGATTGCCAGACAGCATGGGCGCAGACCATCGCTGGGTGGCCTACCGCGACAACTCCCACTCCGGAATGCACCACTGCCACGGGCCTCACATGCGACACCACCGGCATGATTCTTTCCCTGTGAGACCATGGGAGTGCGGCGGTGGGTTTGAGACGGTGTCCCTGTCTGTCAGTGGTCGATTTGCGAGGGACTTTTGGCTTGACTAAAAAATGCACCACTGCCCCGGGGCGACACCACCGGCATGATTACCTCCTTGTGAGACGGTGATACTGAGGCGGTGGGAGTGAGACGGTGATACTGAGGCGGTGGGAGTGAGACGGTGATACTGAGGCGGTGGGAGTGAGACGGTGATACTGAGGCGGTGGGAGTGAGACGGTGATACTGAGGCGGTGGGAGTGAGACGATGATACTGAGGCGGTGGGAGTGAGACGGTGATACTGAGGCGGTGGGAGTGAGACGGTGATACTGAGGTTGTGGGAGTGAGACGGTGATACTGAGGCGGTGGGAGTGAGACGGTGATACTGAGGCGGTGGGAGTGAGACGGTGATACCGAGGCGGTGGGAGTGAGACGGTGATACTGAGGCGGTGGGAGTGAGACGGTGATACTGAGGTGGTGGGAGTGAGACGGTGATACTGAGGCGGTGGGAGTGAGACGGTGATACTGAGGCGGTGGGAGTGAGACGGTGATACTGAGGCGGTGGGAGTGAGACGGTGATACCGAGGCGGTGGGAGTGAGACGGTGATACTGAGGCGGTGGGAGTGAGACGGTGTGCGTGAGACGATGGGAGTGAGACAATGGGAGTGAGACGGCGGGAGTGAGACGGCGGGAGTGAGACGGTGGAGGTAAGACGGTGGGAGTGAGACGATGAAAGTGAGACGATGGGAGTGAGACGATGGGAGTGAGACTGTGGGAGTGAGACGAAATGGTGGAAGTGAGACGGTGGGAGAGACGGTGGGAGTGAGACGGTGGGAGTGAGACGGTGGGAGTGAGACGAGGGGAGGGAGACGATGGGAGTGAGACGATGGGAGTGAGACGGTGATACTGAGGCGGTGGGAGTGAGACGGTGATACCGAGGCGGTGGGAGTGAGGCAGTGATACTGAGGCGGTGGGAGTGAGACGGTGATACTGAGGCGGTGGGAGTGAGACGGTGATACTGAGGTGGTGGGAGTGAGACGGTGATACTGAGGCGGTGGGAGTGAGACGGTGATACTGAGGCGGTGGGAGTGAGACGGTGATACCGAGGCGGTGGGAGTGAGACGGTGATACTGAGGCGGTGGGAGTGAGACGGTGTGCGTGAGACGATGGGAGTGAGACAATGGGAGTGAGACGGCGGGAGTGAGACGGCGGGAGTGAGACGGTGGAGGTAAGACGGTGGGAGTGAGACGATGAAAGTGAGACGATGGGAGTGAGACGATGGGAGTGAGACTGTGGGAGTGAGACAATGGGAGTGACATGATGGGAGTGGGACGATGGGAGTGGGACGATGGGAGTGAAACGATGGGAGTGAGACGGTGGGAGTGAGACGGTGGGAGTGAGACGATGGGAGTGAGACGATGGGAGTGAGACGATGGGAGTGAGACGATGGGAGTGAGACGATGGGAGTGAGACAGTGGGAGTGAGACGATGAAAGTGAGACGATGGGAGTGAGACGATGGGAGTGAGACTGTGGGAGTGAGACAATGGGAGTGACATGATGGGAGTGGGACGATGGGTGTGAGACTGTGGGAGTGAGACAATGGGAGTGACATGATGGGAGTGGGACGATGGGAGTGGGACGATGGGAGTGAAACGATGGGAGTGAGACGGTGGGAGTGAGACGGTGGGAGTGAGACGATGGGAGTGAGACGATGGGAGTGAGACGATGGGAGTGAGACGATGGGAGTGAGACGATGGGAGTGAGACGGTGGGAGTGAGACAATGGGAGTGACATGATGGGAGTGAGACGGTGGGAGTGAGACAATGGGAGTGACACGATGGGAGTGGGACGATGGGGGTGGGACGATGGGAGTGAAACGATGGGAGTGAGACGGTGGGAGTGAGACGATGGGAGTGAGACGGTGGGAGTGAGACGATGGGAGTGAGACGGTGGGAGTGAGACGGTGGGAGTGAGACGATTGGAGTGAGACGGTGGGAGTGAGACGATGAAAGTGAGACGATGGGAGTGAGACGATGGGAGTGAGACTGTGGGAGTGAGACAATGGGAGTGACATGATGGGAGTGGGACGATGGGAGTGAGACTGTGGGAGTGAGACAATGGGAGTGACATGATGGGAGTGGGACGATGGGAGTGGGACGATGGGAGTGAAACGATGGGAGTGAGACGGTGGGAGTGAGACGGTGGGAGTGGGACGATGGGAGTGAGACGATGGGAGTGAGACGATGGGAGTGAGACGATGGGAGTGAGACGATGGGAGTGAGACGGTGGGAGTGAGACAATGGGAGTGACATGATGGGAGTGAGACGATGGGAGTGAGACGGTGGGAGTGAGACAATGGGAGTGACACGATGGGAGTGGGACGATGGGGGTGGGACGATGGGAGTGAAACGATGGGAGTGAGACGGTGGGAGTGAGACGATGGGAGTGAGACGGTGGGAGTGAGACGATGGGAGTGAGACGGTGGGAGTGAGACGGTGGGAGTGAGACGATTGGAGTGAGACGGTGGGCGTGAGACGATGGGAGTGAGGCGATGGGAGTGAGATGGTGGGAGTGAGACGATGGGAGTGACACGATGGGAGTGGGACGATGGGGGTGGGACGATGGGAGTGAAACGATGGGAGTGAGACGATGGGAGTGAGACGATGGGAGTGAGACGGTGGGAGTGAGACGATGGGAGTGAGACGGTGGGAGTGAGACGATTGGAGTGAGACGGTGGGCGTGAGACGATGGGAGTGAGGCGATGGGAGTGAGATGGTGGGAGTGAGACGAAATGGTGGAAGTGAGACGATGGGAGAGACGGTGGGAGTGAGACGGTGGGAGTGAGACGAGGGGAGGGAGACGATGGGAGTGAGACGATGGGGGTGAGACGATGGGAGTGAGACGATGGGTTTGAGACGGTGGGAGTTGACATGCTGGATTCGAGAGGGATAGGTTTGAGCGGATATCAGGCCATAAATTTGAGACGGTGGATTGGAGAGTATGGATATGAGATGGAGGTGACGAGACGCGGTGTCGACGATATATGGCTTTGTGAGACGATGTGTTTGAGATGATCGCTTTCGGGAATTACTTTCAGAAGATGGTCAAGACTGAGACGGACAATAGACGTATCAGTGGATTCAGTTGATGGCGTGTATTAATAGACTCCGATGCGTGATGGTTGTGAGAGAGGCGATGACAACGAGAGTCTAGGAGAGCAAGAGGAGATGAGAGCGAGAGGCGATGAGAGTGAGAAGAGATGAGAGCGAGAGGAGATGAGAGTGAGAGGAGATGAGAGCGAGAGGGGATGAGAGCGAGAGGAGATGAGAGCGAGAAGAGATGAGAGCGAGAGGAGATGAGAGTGAGAGGAGATGAGAGCGAGAGGGGATGAGAGCGAGAGGAGATGAGAGCGAGAGGAGATGAGAGCGAGAGGAGATGAGAGTGAGAGGAGATGAGAGCGAGAAGAGATGAGAGCGAGAAGAGATGAGAGCGAGAGGAGATGAGAGTGAGAGGAGATGAGAGCGAGAGGGGATGAGAGGGAGAGGAGATGAGAGCAAGATGACACCTCTGATGCTGCAGATTGTTTTTGAGTTTCTGATTTTTTGCTGCCTCATTTTGAGCACTACTTATGATTGCCATAATTGTCTTATCATTATCAACATGGTGCAACAGGGCGCTTCATAACTTCAAGCTGGCAGGGCAGATTCCAAGCACCATCACCAACCTTAACAAGATCACTCTATTGTACGTTACGTCCTTTGCTAAACCTTATCCCCTAAACTGCTGCTCACTGGAACGTTTAACAATTCGCAAGCTCAAGAAGATCACTCTATAGTACGTCCTAGCAGCGTTTCCCCTTGAGTGCCTGCTGGTTTCTAGGAACATGTGGGTTCGATTCGTTGCCATTGAGATAGCAGGTTGGACAGCCGAGCAGCAGCAGCAGCGCCATTGCGGGAGCCTGGATGGCATGGCACTGTGCTGTGCCTCTGCGGCCAAGAGAAGCAGGGGCAGACAACCATGGTCACAACAGTTTGTAACCAGTTTTTGTGGCTTTGGTTTCCGTAACAGTAACCTGCTTCTCTCTGTTCTGCTTGTATCGTACTACATTTTGTACTGAAAGCTTCTCTGCCCTGCCTTTCTTCCATGTTAATTCTTCTCATAGTGATCTTGCGAGCAACCAGATACCAGGAAGCATCCCTGCCGGCGTGTCTGTGCTCAGCCTGCTGAAATACCTGTGAGATGGCTCAGCATCCTGCAAGCACGGCACACACTCACGCTCCTGCCATGCTTGCCTTGCCTGCCGTCCTCTCTCTGTGTCCTTCCTCACCTTGCACCTCCTTTCTGTTACACGCCCTGTCCCTGCAGGGGTATAAACAACAATGCACTCACCGGTGGGATTCCAACTGAAATTGGTTCCCTCACCAGCCTCACAGCCCTGTGAGCCGCCTTGCCCCTGCTTCTCTCCATGCATCTTACTCGTGCTTATAATGTATCTGCATGGCATGCACCGTTCGGATTCTCCTCCTCTCTCCCACCTTCCAATTTTGTTCTAATCATTTGCTAAGCTCGTATCCGCACACTTCAAGTTCCTCCTTCATTCCTCCTGCCCGTGGTTCGTGGCTAAGCAGTCACACCATGCCACATTGCCTCGCCACATTGCCCATTGTTAATCCGCATGTTCCTTGCTGTCCACATTCCGGCCCATGGTTGTTTTGTTCTGCACCAGTCAGTCAGTCAGTCAGTCACCATTTGAGCGCCTTTCTCATCCTCTGCTGCACTAGAACGAACGATCTCTGGTCTTCTTCCTCATGTTTCTGTGCCTCTGCATCTCTCCATCAGCTATCTCAACGTCAACTCGCTTTCAGGAACCATACCCAGCACGATCTCCAAGCTTACTGCACTCTCAATTCTGTAAGATAACCAGTTGCTCTCCTTGCAACCAAGCAGGTCAAGTCGAAATGGCTCGAAGTTCCAATTGAAGTCAGGCTGGAACCAATTCGAGATGAACCTGTTCTCACCACATCTGACTCTCCATTCGACAAAATTCGGCAGACCTTGTCGTGCAACCAGCCATTCAGAGTCCACCTTGGGGACACCATCTCTCCACCTTTGCAACCCTTTACTGTTGGCAATGACCCATCTTCTTACATTCCACTGTCGTTTCATCACCACACCCTTGCATTTCCTTCCATGGGCAGATCTCTTTCGTCCAACCTGATTACCGGCGCCATCCCGCCGGGGATTAGCTTGCTGAAAGCACTGTCAATCCTGTAAGAATGAATTTTTAGTCGACGCAAAAGAGGTGACTCTTGAGTCGACTCAAAAGCCATCCCTCCTCAGATTAGCTTGCTGTGACTTAATTCTGCATGAAGGGACAATCCAAGTACCATGCCGTTGTTTTGCGCTCTCTTTCTGTCATGTGATGAAATCCGTCAGTTCACTCTCTATACACCCGTCAGTAAACATACATACACCATCACAACCGTCCTTCCAACCGTCAGCCCTTCAACTGCTCTACATGTGTTTGCTTGCCTCTTTCAGGGATCTTTCAAGCAACCAGCATTCAGGAACTATTCCCTCTGGGTTTAGCACACTCTCTCTACTCACTATCTTGTAAGTCACACACGACGAGTGAGGTGGGTAAGAAGGTAAGCCTCTTCTTTGATAGGGTAATGAGACGAATGGAAAAATAACACATGGACAAATAGCTCATTTAGGCTGCTTGTGATTCAGTGTCGTGCAACCAACCATTCAGTGTCCACCTTTGGGGGATACAGACCTTAGTTGGAGTATACGCTCTGAACATTTTGCGTATTGCGTTTATACGCGCTAAAAAAACGACCGCTGCGTTTTTGGTTCGGAAACGCTGAAAAACGCTCGGGCAGACCGGGAAAAAAATAATCAAAATTTGAGTTTCGTTTAGCGACATGGCGATTCAAGTGTGGGGTTTCGCACGTCGCGAGTGCAACCCCGAATTCGAAATTTGAAACCGAGTTGCACCAAACCCACCCTTTACCATTGCAAACCCCCTTGTACCCCGTTCACTTCCAACCTCTTCAAATACAATGTTGAGGTGAGTCCCCCTCAACCCACCCACCATTCCTACCATAAATGTCGTGTCTTTCCACTCGACTTTCATTACTCAGTTTAGCTCTCTTCTTTAGCTCGCCTTTCAGTATGGCGACCCCTCCTGCAGCAACACTCAGTACTACTACCCCTACTGCAGCTCCTAATGCTAGTTCTGTTGAGGAAACCAGCGCCGGTCTGGTTATCATGCACGAAACCCATGCTGTGTACAAGCATTTCCTTGTGAAAGCCGGCGACGACAGCGACCACGCCACCAAGGTGTGCATGTACTGTCGCCACAAGTTCACGGGCGGTATGTACCGCGCTGCTCAGCACATCACCAGCTGGAAGGGTATGCGGCGTCGTGAAATCCGCCTCTGCGAGGAAGCTCCCAAGACCGCGCGGGATGGAGTGAAGTCACAGTACGAGACGAAGTCCAGGACCCGGGACCAGAAGCGCGCGGCTGAAGTTTCGGCCGTTGCTGCAGTTTCCGGTGCTTCTGGCGAGGCGAAGAAGTCTCGCATGACCGATTTCTACGGCGACGCGTCAGCCTGCAAGAAGAACGATGCCGACGAGTCGATCTGCCTCGCGTTCGCTGCTCTGCGCCTCCCCGAACACCACGCGGACCACCCTGTTTGGCGCAACATGGTCTCCTGCATTGCGCGTGCGGGCGAAGGCTACCTCGCACCGAGGCGTCGCTACGTCGGCGGCGGCGGGCTCCAGAAATGTCGTAAGCGCATTGAGGCGGCGCTTGCTCCTATCGCGGCGAGCTGGCGGCGGGATGGCGTAACGGTGTCAAGCGACATGATGACTGATCGTAACGGCCGTCCGCAAGCCAATGTGCTTCTGATCAACGACAGTGGCGCGGTCTTCGCTGAGACAATCGACACACGGATGGAATCGAAGACGGGAGGTTACATCGCGGGGCTTCTCAAGAAAGTCGGACCGGAAAATGTGGTGGCATTTTGCATGGACGGCGGCTCGAACTATGCGGTGGCGTGCAGGGAGCTGATGGAGGATTACCCCCACATTGAGTACATACCTTGTGCTACCCACGTCCTCGATCTGTTGATGGAGGACGTGGGGAAGATGGACTGGGCGAAGAACCTTGTCACCTGCGGGGGAGAAATCATCACCTTCACGCGCAACCACCACTTCACGCGGGGGTATTTGCGAAGCTCCGAGGTCAAGGGCGGGAAGGGCAAGCAGGTCCTGAAACCCGCGGGCACTCGCTTCGGGACGCAATTCATCGCTATTTCCCGCCTTGTCGAAGTCCGTGCTGCCCTCGTGCAGATGGTTTTAAGCGATGAATGGAAGGAGTGGGCAACAGGGGCAAGGAGTAAAAGCGCGGACACTTTCCGCGAGCACATCATGGACGAGGCTTGGTGGAAGAAGGCCGAGTTCTTCACCAAGCTCATGGCGAAGCCGTTCGCCGTCATGCGGGCTACGGATGCTGCGACAAAGGGGATGATGGGGTGCCTCTACGACGCCATTCTGCAGCTCACCGAGGACGTGGATGCAATCCTCGAGGAGCACTCCGCGGGTCACCTGACGAGGGCGGAGGTTAAGGAGATCCGCCTCATCGTGAAGGATAGGTGGGATAAGTGCTTGGCGTGCCCCTTGCATGTGGTTGGCAGGATCTTGAATCCGGTCAACCAAGAGGAGGGCATCTTCAGAAACGACATCAAATGCACGCGCGTGCTGAAGGCCTACATCGCCAAGCACTACGACCACCTCACCATCACCGCGAGCGACGGCGAGGAGCGCCGTGCCTCTCTTGTGCTGCAGGAGGAACTGACGGCGTACCTGACCCTGCAGGGGAGTTTCGGGCTGCCCACCGCCTTGGAAGACCGCGCGGCTGTGAAGGCGGGGAAGATGACGGACGTCCAGTGGTGGAATTGGCACGGCACAGATGCGCCCCACCTTGCTACGTGCGCAATCCGCAACCTTTCGCAGCCGGTGTCCGCGTCGCCCTGTGAGCGCAATTGGTCCATGTGGGACGCGGTCCACACGGCAAGGCGCAACCGCCTCGGGTCCGAGAAGTGCAGGGACCTCGTATATGTTGTGCACAACTGGCAGGTTGTGCACAATTGGTACAAGGTCCCTGAGGGGCAGCGGGTGGTCAAGGGCAACATTCCTGAGGCGCCCCTTCCCGAGGGCTACAAGGTGGAGGAGGATGGGGCGGAGGAGGAGGTTGGGGAGGAAGAGGACATGGTTCTTGAGGATGAGTATGCATAGACATGCATGTGGGGAGGGGGTGGTATGGGATGGGATGGGATGGGCCTATGAAGTGTAGTGATTCGTGAAAAAGGGAAGGGAAAGGGAGGTGGGGTAGGGGGTCTAGTGATGTAGGCAAAATGTTGTGTGCATGTAACCTGCCCTATAATAAAAAGGGGAAGGGAGGTGATGGTGCCTTGCACCACCCCCTTCCCCACATCTTAACCCAAAAAATTTCACCTGCCCGAAACTTTTTTTACCCCTGCCCGGCCCTGCGTTTTCACTGCGTATTAGACCCCTCCAAAGCTGCGTACTGCGTTTATACGCTAGCGTATAAAACGCGAAACGCGTATACTCCAACTAAGATACAGACAGCACAGCAGAGCACACCTCCTTGCACGTGTACTTAGTTGCAGAGTGGCACGGCCCCAGCTGTTGTGTTGACTTTGCTGCCACCGGTCAATACCCTTTTAAACTCTTACCCTTTCAATTCAACAACCCTATACCTAATCCCTTTACTGTTTGCAATGTCCCATCTTCTTTTGTTCCACTTTCTGTTCATCACCACACCCTTGCATTTCCTTCCATGGACAGGTCTCTTTCGTCCAACCTGCTTACTGGCGCCATCCCGCCTCAGATTAGTGTGCTGAACAAACTAGTAACCCTGTAAGAATAAATTTGTTGTTTTTACTGCTCAGGTTTGTTGTTTGTTTGTTTGTTTTTTTCCCCGTCTGGCTATCATGACTGCCATCCATAACTTGATTCTGCATGAAAGGACAATCGAAGTACCATGCCTTTGTTTTCTATGCCCTTTTCTGTTATGTGACGTAAACCCTCCGTTCACCCTCTCTACCAACCGTCAGTTGACAAACCTACGGTTCATCACAACTGCCCATTAAAACCGTCAGCCCTTAAACTGCTCTGCATGTGTGCACTTGCCTCTTTCAGGGATCTTTCGAACAACCAGCATTCAGGAACTATTCCCTCTGGGTTTAGCACACTCTCTCTCCTAACTAGCCTGTGAGTCACACACGTGTGAAGTGGGCAAGAAGGTAAGCCTCTCCTCTGATAGGGTATGAAACGAATGGACAAATAACACATGGAGAAATTACACATGGACAAATGCTATGTTAAGTGCACTGCAGCCAGTCAATACCCTTTCAATAACACATCGTACGTAGATGCAAGTGGCACGACCCCATCTGTTATGTTAACTTCACTACAACCAGTAATACCCTTTGAAACTCTTACCCTTTCAACAACCCTATGCCTAAACCCTTTACTGTTGGCAATGACCCATCTTCTTGCATTCCACTTTCTTTTCAACACCACCACACCCTTGCATTTCCTTCCGTGGACAGGTCTCTTTCGTCCAACCTGCTTACCGGCGCCATCCCGCCTCTACTCAGCATGCTGTTCAAAATGTCAACTATGTAAGAATGAATTTTGAGTCTATTTTCGAGTCGTCTCAAAAGTAGACTCTGAACAAACTATCATATGAAATTGTTTGATCTACTCTTCTGATTTGTTTGATCGATTGTTTGTTTTTCCCGTGTGGCTATCACAACAGCAATCCCTAACTTCATTCTGGCATGTGATGAACCTACGGTTCGCCGTTCAACTGCTCTACATGTGTTTGCTTGCCTCTTTCAGGGATCTTTCAAACAACCAGCATTCAGGAACTATTCCCGCTGGGTTTAGCACACTCTCTCTACTCACTAGCCTGTGAGTCACACACAAGTGAAGTGGGCAAGAAGGTAAGCCTCTGAAAGGGTGATGAGACGAGTACACAAATGACACATGCCTGGATAAGTCAAACATGCTGTTGTGAAGCGAGTACATTTTGTTCCTTACTTGGAGAGAGACCATGAAGGCTGCTTCTGCTTGTGCTTGTGCGTGTGCTTGTGCATGTGCATGTGCATGTGCATGTGCATGTTCATGTGCATGTGCGTGTACATATGCTTGTGGTTGTGGATGTGCATGTGCTTGTGCATGTGCTCGTGCAATGCTTGATGTCTGTCCCCCCCGACACTGTCACCTGGCGCCCTCCCCCACATAAATTGCTTCACGTATCACCCCCCCCCCCTCCACATTCCATATCCTCGTGTTATCCCAACTTCCCAGGTCTCTCAATACCAATCTGCTCACTGGATCCATACCTAGTGGTGTGATTACTGCCATGACAAAGCTCGTACACCTGTAAGCACTATCCAGCAATCAGTGTGCTGCTCTCGTATCTCCTCGGTTCCCTCGTCTCCTGTTTGCATTGCCAAACAGGTATCCTGTTCTATAGACCACCATTCACCCAACGTATCCACTGCACATTCTAATCTTCTCTGCGCGTGCCAGTTTGTTCTCCACTGCCCTCTACCACACCTTTCGCATCCTTTTCCTGCCCGCAACAGCAATCTCTGCTCCAACTCGCTCTCTTCAACAATAACCACCTCGATCACAAAGCTCACGGCACTATCAACTCTGTAAGACGGTCAACATCTTTCCTTGAAAACCACAAGCTTTCCCAATGGCCGAACCAGCATACTACCAAAACAAGGCACTCGCTTGTAGTGCACTAGCAAAAGCCATGCTTTGTGGTTCCAACTTCCATCTGCTGCTCTTTTTGTTTCCTGTTGCTTCTTGGATCTGTCCCACCCAGATCGCTGTGTAACAACCAGATCACCAGCACGTTCCCTGCTGGCATGAGCGCGCTTGCAAAGCTTACAAACGTGTGAGTGAGGCATCTTCTCCAATACACCTTGGTCTGCCTTTCCCATCTCCCCTGCTTGTAATTCATGGCTTGCGTTTCTCCTCCCAGCGCTGTGCTTGGTGAGGATGGAAATGGTAAGATTGTTTGCTAGAAAAAAAGAATGACTAAAGACTCAGTTGCATTTCCACTGTCACGTATAGGACCACTATTAACCTGCTCATTCTCTTTTCTCACCGTTCCTCTGCTGCATCCCCAACATGAACGCTGCCACAGGCAATTGAACAGCAATCTTCTCAGTGCTACTATTCCTTCTGGTGTTAGTACATGGGCAAAAGTGGTAAACCTGTAAGGCCGTACCTGTTTCTTCTCTCCTCTCACTTTCTGTGCTGCTGATTTTCTCTCCCGTCTGTCTCCGAAGCTGTATCCTTTCTAAGTTGAAGTCCATTCCTCACGTCCTACTCCTCCATTATCCCCCCTCTTCTTCCAAAGCTTTGTCATCGTTTTCCTACTTTGCCTCTTGCCTGCAACCGAGGTGACGTTTGAGTCGACTCAAAAGTCACTTTGTCATCGTTATCCTACTTTGCCTCTTGCCTGCAACCGCTTTTCTCTGTCCATGTCAAGTTTTTCGAGGCTGAATTTCCTCGTCTGCGCTGTTTGCCTTTCTCAGGGACTTCTCAAGCAACCAGATGACTAGCAGCATTCCTGCTGCCATCAGTGCACTCACTTCATTGACTCGCCTGTGAGTGACCCTCAGGTGGTGATGTCAGTATTCACCCCAAGCTTGTTGCTTTTTTTTGTTTTTGTTTTTTTTAGTATCACGTAATTCAGCCGTCATGCTCCCTCACGCATTCCCATCCTTGATTCTCGCTTCACCACCCTAACCGTTGTGAAGAACCTTTAGTCTTTCATTCCGCTTCTTGTAGGGAACTTGTAGTAATTGCTCAATTCTGGCTTGAATGCCTCACTGCACCCTTCAATTGGTCCCTTCGATTGGTTCCTTTGTACTCTTAATGGATGCGTCCACAAAAATGTTTAAAATTATGTGGTGCATTCAAATGGGCCTCACCTGTTTGAGACGCGCTGTGTGTGCCTGTTGAACCGGTGCTCTTTGACACAGTTTTGAACCTCTATGGTCGTTTTGCATTCTTTCTTTCTTTCTTTCTTTCTTTCTTTCTTTCTTTCTTTCTTTCTTTCTTTCTTTCTTTCTTTCTTTCTTTCTTCTTTACTCACAACTCAAGTACTGGTCACTCTTGAGGCCACAAAATTCGACCCAAACCTGTTGCATTTTGCATCAGCAACCTGTCCCCCAACTGCTTTTGAGACGTCCCAAAAGTGCATCAGCAACCTGTCCCCCAACTGCTTTGATGCGATTCGGGTTGTCCTGGTTCGTGTTTGAATCGTGGCCAAGCCGGCCTCAAGTCATTCACGGGTCATCCTCCATTTTATTTGCCTTTCTTGTTTCATGTTTCCAGTGACCTTTCAAACAATCTGCTGTCCGGCCGCGTTCCTACTACCCTCAGCACACTCAGCCAACTTGCACGCCTGTAAGCCACACTCTAGTGCTGTCATCGTAACAAACAAACAGGCTATCCTCATGGTTTGGGTGAACCACCACCAGTGATGAATCCACACATGTTCGTTATGCAACATCATCCTGTAGGCCCCAACATGATTGTGGGTACAGCACTTGTCATAATTGCTTCTGTTCTTCTGGAAATAGGTATAGTCAAATTCACGGCCCACCAACAACACTTGCCTGCTTCACTCACTACGTTCCGTCCTGGGTCTTGCTTCTTAATCCTGTTCCCCTGTCTCCTATGGTCCTACTGGACATGTTCCACATCATACCCCTTTCATTCACCCACTTAATGGCTGCCTAAATTTGACTTACCAGTTGCTAGGCTTTCCCTGGCTGTCTTTTGATTTTCAGAGATCTTTCACTCAACCAGCTTACCCTGACCATTCCCTCCACTATTGGTGCTCTCACTGTGCTCACTTACCTGTGAGTTGCACAATATAAAGGTAAGAAGGTAAGTACGTATCATGTTTGCCAGTCCGCATCTACAAGTGTCACATCTGCCCACTCCTCGCTCATCCTATCAGCCTTGCCAGTGAGAAATAGCTGTTTGAAAATCGATGCCTGGGACTTCACTCCCGCTTCCTGCTCACTTCCGCCAGTGCCTCCCTCGGCATTCCCTTTCCTGCTCCATGCAGGTCCCTCAGTAACAATCAAATCGCTGGATCCATCCCTGCACAGATTGGTTCTGCAACAAGGCTTTCGTACCTGTAAGCGCCGGCCGGACCCCCTTTGGGTGCTTTTTTGTTCCTCCAGCAGTCCATCTGTGTCTCTCTTCCTCCTGGCTCTGGTTCCCACTCTGTGTCAGTGCACGGGCTTATGTGTTTCCTGCCTTCAACCGATCCACTCTTTTGTCCTCCTTCCTTTCCACTTGTCCTCTTCGTCTCTCTTTCACGGTTTCCCTCTCTTCCTACCTCTACCGTGAATGATGATCTATTTCCGCTTTTAGATTTTTGCACACCTTCCTCATCGCTTGCCTTGTCTTATTTCTACTATTCTTTTGGTATGCTCATGCACTGTTTCTCATGTTTTTGATCCCGGAGCCCCGAGCCCTGGAAAAATACTCCAAACCATTAATGCCACATCTATAAGATTCACATTTCTAAGGTTTCACCCTAATGTGCAACCTTTTGGTTGGTCGTCTTGTATTTTTCTATCCATCTTTTTGTGTAAACGCAGAATTTTCCAAAACTCTGATTGATTGGCTTCAGGCCTTCATTCCAGCCTAATCCCTTGGCACTGAACCCCTTCCTTCCTCTCACCTCAGTGATTATCTGTTGTGTTCCCAATTATGTGGGCTGCTGTTGCAGGATGCTACAATATAATCAGCTTAATGAATCTATACCTGTTCAAATTGGTGCTTTGAAACAATTGGTGACCTTGTAAGTCCCTATGCATGTCTTCTTTCTATTTCCAGATTCTTCCCTTTCCTTTTCTTCTGCTTGCTTGTTCGATTCTGGGATGCTTCAAGCAACCAGCTATAGGCATCAGTTTTGCAATCATGAGCACACCAAACGTGAGAATAGGGGTATTAGCCAGAATGATACTATGAGCATCGCCAGTGCTTCTTGGCGACTGAGCCTTTTCTCCCCTATGCTGCCCTGCCCACTGATGCTCGTGTCTCTCTTCTGCCCCTTTGGCATGCGTGCAATGCGTCTCCCTGTTGCTCCATTCAGGGATCTTCATTACAACCAGCTTGCTGGTCCCATCCCTTCTGAGATTGGTTCCTTGTCAAAGCTTTTGCGCCTGTAAGCCGTGCCGTGACTCCCTCCCATGCGCATTAACAAAAGCCTTTGCTGCTCTCCTCTTAGCTCCCTTGCAAGATTTCTGTCATTCCACGGGCTTATGCATTTTCTCTCCTCAAACAATCTTGTTTTCTCTCCTCCTCGATGGCTTCTTGTCCTCCATCCTTTTCTACTAGAGAGTTTGCTTCTCTTCCTTTGTCTCCCAGTTTGTGCTTATTCAATTTCCACCCTTGACAATCTCCCTTGACTTTTTCTTTGCCTTGACTTGTTCTTTGCCTTGACTTGCCTTCTCTGCAAGGTGCCTTCTCCACTCGCCACAATAATCCCCCCCACCTCCTCCCCTCCCCCCTCCCTTTTTTTTTTTCTTTTTTTTTTTCTTTTTTTTTTTCAAGGGACTTGTCACACAACCAGCTGACTGACGGTATTCCTGCTACCATCAGTGCGCTCACCCTAGTTTCCAGCATGTAAGCAACAGTCTGGTGCTGCCAGTTGCCTTCACAGGGTAGGCATTTGTAATCGCATCACATTGCCGAAAGTATGTGATAGAAGGCACTCATGCATTACGTGCATCTCACATTTGCAAAGCACATAACCGTTGTAGAATTCCTCCATCCACCTCTTGACCGCTCTGTTGACACAAACCATGTTAATGCTCTGGAGCTGTGCCCCCCCCACAACAACACCCATCTTCTTGCTCTTGAACTTTTATCTTGCTATCCTCCTCGTGTCTTGTCTGTATGAGTCGGCAGGGATCTTAGCAGTAATCAGCTCTCAGACGTGATCCCTACTTCAATTGGCTCACTTTCGTCTGTAACATTCCTGTAATGCTCTTTCCTTTCCTTCGTTCTCTATCTACTCACTCTTGTGTCCTATCATCCACCTCCCTCCCCTCTTGGAAATAAATGTGTTCTACATTGAATTTACTGTGTCAAAGGTCATTGTTGCTTAGGTACTAGTGAGTGCCACCACCTTACATCCCACACCACCCCACCCTCTTATCCTTTCACTATTCTCTTCTCTTTGCCATCTCAATTGCTTGCCGCCCTGTTACTCACTCATTGTCGTCCTCTTACCCCATCTTCAACAGCACCCTGGCCAGTAACCAGCTCAACGGATCTATCCCTTCCACCATTGGCTCGCTCACGAAGCTGGTTTTTATGTATGCATCCCTATTCTGCTCGGTCCACCCTTGTTGTGTTTGGTCTTAGTCTGTATCATCCTGCCTTACTCGTTACTACCAACCGTCTACACGCTTGTGGGTCTCTTCTGCTCTCCCCATTTATCCTATCATGCTCAGCTTTTGACCGACCTACATCTGACATGCCCCTGCTGCTTGCGTTACGGACTTCCAGGGATCTTTCAGGCAACTCTCTTTCAGAAAGCATCCCTGCCAGTATTAGTGCTCTCTCTAGGCTCACTGTCCTGTAAGTTGCACACAATTGAACCCCATAAGAATGTCCAGGCAGCCTATTTGCACGCATGTTATTCCAGCCAATATGTTCAATCCAAATCTGTGCTTGGAAGAAAAGTGCCCTCATGTTCTCTCTCATCCTAGAGGCTTTTCCATTGCTACTTGGCTGCCTTATATGACCACCGAGCCTTTCCCTCCCCCCATTCTTCGCTTACTGCTGCCTCTACCAAGGTGACTTTTGAGTCGACTCAAAAGGCTTCCTGAAATGATCACTGAGCTTTTCCTCCCATTCTGTGCCCGCTGCTGCCTCTACCGCTCTTGACATCCCAATTCATTGTTGCTCTATCCAGGTATCTTAATGGCAATTTTCTTTCTGGCGCCATCCCTTCTCAGATTGGTTCGTTAACGAAACTTTCGGAATTGTAAGTGATACACAAGACCCGCTTTGTATTACCTTGACGCATGCCTGTCCTCTCTCCTCCATAGCCTCTTCCCTTCTCTGATTCTTCACCCACATTCTTGGTTTTATGTGTATGATACCATATGAAGCTGTAGGCGACTACACATTCTTCTTTGTATGTGCCGCGGCGTGTTTGTTGCGTAGTTGGGACATGTTAGCAGGTTCCGACCATCCGCTACACTGGCTCCTTCAGAATGGAAGAAAACAATCAACTAGAAAGAAATATCTGGCTAAAACAAAGAAAGTCAACGTCTCGTCAGGAGATCATCACAATCTGGTCCTGTCGCGCAATCTGAATCTCCGACCTTTGCCTGGATAGCTTTGGCCTGTAGCCTCCAAGTGGGCTCTCGTCTTCATCTCCCTTCCACACCTTCTTGTCGTCTCGTTTTGCGTTTTCCATCCCATTCTCTGCCAGATATCTGTACAGCAACAGCCTCACGGAACCCTTGCCTACAAGCATTGGCTCGCTCACAGGATTGTCAATTCTGTAAGTATTTCCGCGCTCAATGCTCTCTCCTTTCCTCCTTTCTCGTTTCTGTAACCACCAATTCGTTTTCAGGTCCTGTAAACAGCACCTTAGCTGGCTACATCTGGCGTTCTTCGCTTGTCCCTCCCTCTCTCGACTCGCTTCTCTACTCACCTATGTCATCACCCAACTTCATACGGAGCCACTGTTGACTGTTCCTCCTAATGCTTCTCTAGTTAAATTCCCCGACCATCAGATCTCTTTATTACAACCAGATCTCTGGACCCATCCCTGCCTCCATCGGCTCCCTCACCAAACTTACATTTCTGTACGTCACGTCATGCTTTGCCCGACTATTCTTCCATTGGATGGGACCCACAATCTGTGACCACTTAGCAGTAATACCTTCCCTCTTGTCTGCCCTATCTCCTCTTGAGGTTGTGCTGCTGCTCTCCCATTCCGTTACTCTGGAGGTTCCTTTATTTTAACAGCCTTTCAGGCCAGATCCCTCCATCCATGCCCTCGCAAAAAAATATAAATACGCAACAACACTTGAGCCACTTGAGCGTACATTCCAACTTAGTTGTGTTGTTGCCACCCTCCCATCCCATGCTGCTGCAGGGGCCTATATTTTAACAGCTTTTCGGGCCAGATCCCTTCCACCATGTCCTTGCTGAAAAATCTCAACACCCTGTGAGCGCCCACTGCCAGTCTGCCGCTGTTGGATTTGTGCCTTTCCTCTGCTGCTTGTACCCCATCCACCACAGCCAACCCGTTGCTGTTTTGAAAAGCTTTATCTGCCGTTTGTGATACTTCTTGAGTCCACACCACTACTACTGACCCTTCCCTTTCCACGCTCCTCTCCACTGTCTCTGCTGTTCCCCCAGCGACCTGAGCTTCAACTCACTAAATGAGTCCATTCCCGCCAGTTTGGGTTCCATGACTTCCCTCACCAGCCTGTCAGTCACTTCCCCCCACCCAAATCCGCAATTGTTGTTGTTGTTGTTTATTTTTTTTGTTCTTTCTTTTTCTTGTTGTTTTTCTTTTTCTTTTTCTGTTCCTGTTCTTGTTTTTGTTTTTGTTTTGCTTGTTGCTTTCAAGTGCACCCAAACCACCCTTCCATCCTTGTGGTTTCTTGATCATGCACACACAATTACCATCCCGTTGTTTTGCTGGTACTCGCTTTCAGCCACCCATACCTCCTCTTCCCTCCACGTCTCTCTTCCAGTGTGCTTTTGAGCAACCAGATTCCGGGCAGCGTCCCCTCAGCGTTCAATGGACTCACCCAGTTGCAATTCCTGTGAGCAGCATCAAACACCCTTTTTAGATGAGCCTTGATCGTGGAACCCTGCACACATCAAGCTATCAAATTCCTGACACCATCCCCTCCCCTCAGCCTTGGGAAGGCTCACCCAGTTGCAATACATGTGACCAGCATAAAAAACCCCTCACAGTAGAGCCTTGGATATGGTACCTACCCTGCACTGCACATGCCAAGCACACCAAAGCTCGACAGCTTCTGCTGCTGGCACGAATTTCAGAGAATTGTCAAAGAACGAGCCCTTGCTGGAGCACCAGTTTTATAACCTTTCCACTTATGTGGTGCGAGTCTTCTGTGGGGCTGCTGCATCGTGCCTTCCTTCAGCCCGTGGCGTCTTGCTGTTTCCCGTGCCGTGTGAACGGATATTTTTGCATGTCAACAGTGTGGGAATGGTCTGAAGCAGGCATGAGCTTATTTTCGAACCCCAAACACGTTCGAGTCGAACATGTTCGTTTCGAACATGTTTGAGGGGCTCTTTTTGGGAATAATGTTCGCCCGAACATGTTCGAGGTTCGACCCAAACATGTTTGTGTCAGAACGCTTGCACTGGGGATGCCCGAGAGATCCTAGGAAAGGGTTACAGGCTCATTGGCCTGGGGGGTTATGGGCGCACTGACCCGCTACAGAAACAAGCCCTTTTATCCCAGTGGTCTAGTGACTGGGATTCTGACATGGTATCAGAGCGGTCTCGGGTTCAAATCCCCATGTGCGTACTTGCTGGCGGGGTCGCTGTGCCGTGTCCTATGGCATCCCAGTGAAGGGGGGTGTCAGAACACTTGCACTGGGGATGCCCGAGAGATCCTAGGAAAGGGTTACAGGCTCACTGGCCTGGGGGTTATGGGCGCACTGACCCGCTACAGAAACAAGCCCTTTTATCCCAGTGGTCTAGTGACTGGGATTCTGACAGTTTGGTGTTCGGAAAGTTACAGGGGGAAATTTCCAAACACCAAACATGTTCGGAAAGTTTCCCCGCTTTTCCGAACATGAGATGTTCGGAAAAAACCAGCGCGACAATTGTCGCGCTGGTTGGATGTATTCCCTACGAAAAGCTCAGATCGAGGTCATTTCGACCTCGATCAACCTTTTTAGGTTAAGTACAGAGGAGTAACGATTAGTAGGCGCATTTGATGCCCACTTCAGAGTTCCTGATGGTAACTTAGGTTAAATAGTCGTTAGTTAGTCGTTCACAGGATGATCGGTTAACGACTCCAGTCCTACACTATCGTTCATAGAAGCTCTCAGGCTTTCATGGCATTGCTATTAAGAAGATGGGCTGAATGTTTGGTAACACCCAAAGTCAGTTTGACCGTGAATTTCTAGCCATGCGATCTAGAAACCAGGGATTTTGGACGTTATGGCACAGCTCACTGCCAGTGCCACCTGCAGGGAGTTGAGATTCACAGCTACATATATTTAGCCCAATGTGTCTGTCCAAATACCTATCTTCCATTATGCTTTGTGCCATCTTCTCTCCTGCTCACCTGCTTTCTGTCACGTGCTTTTGTAGCTTCAAGCCAATCCTTTGCACCTATGATCCATTGCAGGGACCTTTCAAACAACATGCTCGTAAGCCTCCCCACCGTTTTAAGCGGGCTCAGACAACTAACTGCCTTGTGAGATTCATACACGCAGCTGGTTGGTATTGTGGTGGCATGAGTTGAGTTTTGAGATGTCTCAAAACCAGCTGGTTGGTTGGTATCGTGCTTGCATGAGTCTGTCGTGCACTGGTGTTAAGCAGTAGGTATTCCTGCTCATGCAGCAACAGTGAACTGGACAAGTGTACTTTCAGGAGAGTGAGACGCACACACATGCACATGGCATGGAAGCCTTGAAATTGACTTGCCATGACATGTGAAAAGCTGGTTCCAGCCCGGCTCACACTAGCATTCATCATCTTGCCCTTGGCAACCCAAAAGCAAAGAGACGTTTTTGTCAAGTGAATCTGGTCAGGGTTAAAGCCTCCTTTCTTGCCCTTGGCAACCCAAAACCAAAGGGACGAGTACCCAACTACATTGTTGTAGTAGTCACTTTCTTCTGCCTCTCAAGTGACACTTTCTTCTGCTGTTCCCGTCCGCATCACAAACCTCAAGCTTTTGACCTTTCCATTCTTTTTCAGGAAGATAACGGGCAACCAGCTCATTGGCCCCCTGCCTTCTGCCATTGGCTCCCTCACATCATTAGCAACTCTGTAAGACATCTCTTCACTCAACCATGTCTAGCTTCTTTAAGAATCACTCCTTTTATATGCCAGGTCCAATTACTGCACCTCCACAGTTGCCACAGCGCAGCCACACATTGTTTTTGGTTCCTCTCTCACCCTCAAATAGCTGTGTTTCTCCTCTCGCATTTTCCCTCATGTCTCATCTCACTATCTGTTTGCACACCGGCTGTTTTTGCCAATCCCCCAGATACGCCAGTTACAACCAGTTGTCAGGATCCATCCCTTCCACCATTGGCCTCCTCACTGGCCTTACAGATTTGTACGCCACACTTTGGTTGCCTGCTCCCTCTGCCATGTGTTTAGACGGCCATTCTCTGATCACTCAACACTGGCTGCATCTCTCTTTGTAAAGATGCTTACGGGTTCAGTTCATTGTTTTAGAGAGGGGAGAAGCTGTGTTGCAATGTTTTAGAGTAGTTTAAGGTGAAGCAAGGATGGAAGAAAAGAATAAACCGAACCTCAGATGAAATCCAAAAACAAGATAAGGCTGGTACAAACAACAGAGCGGAGATTAGGCTGATTTAAACTTACCTGCCACTACCTCCCGTTTGCTTGCTCTTTTGGTGCCAAGGCTGTACAAATAACACTCATCTGCCACTACCTCCCGTGCTACTGCTGCTGCTGCGTGCAGGGACTTGCGTGTCAACAACTTCACAGCCATCCCACCCTCCATTACCTTGCTCACCAATATCTATTCTCTGTGGGTGCTGCACTGCACTGCCAGCCACAGCACACTGCCAATAGATCCCCACTTGGGACGCTTGACTTGGCGTGGCAGCAGCTGTTTGATTAAAAATGTTGTAGTAGTAGGCCCGCCATTACGTTGCTCACCAATATCTATGCTCTGTGGGTGCTGCACTGCCAGCCCAGTGCCACTGCCAGACCGCCTCTGCTTTTGATGTGCCTCTGAGCCTCCCACTGCTGCTGCTACCTCACCGATCACACCACAGACAGACAGCCCAATGCCCTGTTTTTTTTCACGGGTCATAGCCAATTTGAATTCCATTAGTCACCACACTTCCCTAATTTGTCCCTGTCTACCCTCCACTCCATTGTCCCTGCTGTTGCTCCAGCGACTTTACCTGGAACCAGCTAAACACTCCCATTCCCAGTCAGCTTGGGTCCATGATCGGCCTCATCAAACTGTCAGTCTCTCACTCCCCTCCCACAACCTCCTCGTTGCTTGCATCGTTCCATCCACGCACCGACCATTGCCAACTTTTGAGGCGCCTCAAAAGTCGCTTGCATCCTTGCATCCATCCCGGCCCTTGACAACCTTGACCTTTCTTGTTCATGCTCTCCCAATAATCACCGTGCGTGCATCCCTCCCACGTCCCTTGCTCATGCTCGCTCGCCTTTCAGCCACCCATTCTTTCTCTGCCCTGCTCGCCTTTCTTCCAGTGACCTTTCAAGCAACCAGATCCCGGACTCCATCCCTTCAACCTTGGGAAAGCTCACCAACTTGCAATACCTGTGAGATTCATACAACATCCTTCTTGAATGGGCCTTGATCGTGGAATGGAACCCTGCACACATCAAGGCTCTCACACCACGCGCAACTGCTGCTGGTGACATAACTTTGAGAACCTGAAAAAGTATACAGAGTTCTGTGAAAAAGGAGGAACCTTATCGATTTTGTTTTGCCCCATCAATAAGTCAAGGTTTGAAATAGTTGAATCTTGGTATGAGCATGGGATGAACTCTAAACGGCTCTTCTTGAAGCGCCCTCTAATCCACCGTTACAAAATGTTGATTCGCTGTGAGGGAGCGTGGGTTTAGTTTGACATGGTTCGGTTCAGACTGAACCGGCCGGTTTAGACTCAAACTATTAGAGTCGGTTCAACATTTTAAATACATGGTAGGTTCAGAGACCCGTTTACAGACTCAAATGAACCGAACCTTAAAATAAATCAAACCAAACCATATCTCACCATCCATTCACACCAAACTCACCATCACCTGTGCTTTCAAACGCCCGATTCAATCAATTCCCCAACCACCAGGTCTCTCGCTTACAACCAGCTCAATGGAACCATCCCTTCCACCATCGGCTCCCTCACTGGCCTTACATATCTGTACACCACACTTTCCGTTTTCCTGATGCCCATGGATCAGTAAAAAATTCCATTTGGGAGCCATTTAAAGCGGCGGTGTACATTTGACGCATTAAAATATCGAGCCCTCGCGAATTGTTACTGCAGAAGTCAAGTGTTCAGGGGAAATCCTGACTATTTTTGAGCCAGCAATTTTGCGCTTGCAGACCTAGTAAATAGAAAACTATCCGAATCTCGGCTTGCCAAATGTTTACCGTTGCTTTAATACTGATTCCCTTCCGTCCCATTTACCTTGGTGTTGTTTGCCGCCTTCCCATGCTGCTGCAGGGGCCTTATCGATACCAAAATCTCGGGGTCTATCCCTCCCTCCATTTCCTTGCTGAAATCTATGGACACACTGTGGGTGCCACGCTGCCATGCCATGCCATCGCCAATCTATCACCCTCCAGCACTGCTGCTGTTGTTGCTCTCTCACCACTGCTGTTGCTGTTGCTCTCACCACTGCTGTTGCTGTTGCTCTCACCACTGCTGCTGCTGTTGCTCTCACCATTGCTGCTGCTGTTGCTCTCACCACTGCTGCCGCTGTTGCTCTCACCACTGCTGCTGCTGTTGCTCTCACCAGTGCTGCTGCTGTTGCTCTCCACCACTGCTGTTGCTGTTGCTTTCCACCACTGCTGCTACTCCACCCTCAGCAGAGCCAGCCTGATGCTTACTTTCATCTCAACAGCTTCATCTGCCATCCTACCCTTTTGACATTCACCGCTTCATCCTTGTTCACTACTTCCCGTCATCCAATCCACTGTCCCCTTGTCCCTCCAGCGACCTGAGGTACAACCAGCTGTCTGGTTCCATCTCCAAGGAGATTGGTTTCATGACTGCCCTCACCAAACTGTCGGTCACTTCCCTCCACCCACCTCCTTGCATCCGTTTTATCCCATCAGTATTCATCCACGCCCACGCTTGCCCTCCTTCATGCGCACCATTCTATCTGAAGGAGTACACATTCACTTGTGTATGCCTTGCTTCCTTCCTCTCAGCCACCCACCCATTCTCCCTCTGCCCTGCACGCCTTTCTCCCAGTGATCTTTCGAAAAACAAGATTCCGGGCAGCATCCCTTCAACCTTGGGAGCACTCAACCAACTGATTGTCCTGTGAGCTGCTTGCATCAACCTTGGGAGCACCCATCCACATCCTTACAGATGAGCCTTGACTATGGAACTGTGAACACTCTCGAACACATCACATCAGCACTCATTTTTGGTGCCTGAACCAGCATGGGCCGAGCCCCAACAGGCTTCTCCAAGCCCATCTCGAACCGACGCTGTGGTCGAACCGAACTTGAACAGGTTCAGGTTGAACCGGCTCGGGACCGAACTTGTCGAGCCGGCCAAACAAACAGATTAGAACCAAATTGGGTTCGACCCGAATCAAACCAGAAACCAATATGTGCCATCGTGCCTTATTCCGTCTTCTCTCCGCACATGAACCAATGCAGGGATCTTTCAAACAACCAGCTGACAGGCACCATCCCTGCCGCATTCAGTACACTCAGCCAGGTGGCTTACATGTGAGTGAGTCGGATACATACATGTAACATGCACCACACACACACATGCACCTGGACAGATGTGAAATCGGCCTGTGAACAGCCGGCCGGCTCAATCTCAACCCTCACCAGGGATTATAATTTTTGCAATGTGGGACATGCCTCGTAGCAGCCAGTTGCCTGCTTCCTCCCGAGCTCTTGTCTTCTCCTTCCCCTCTCAGGCCTCCACTTTCTCTGCCGCTCCTCCCCGCTGCATCGCGCACTCTCAAGTTTTGCGATTTACTTTGCTGTTGTTCTCCTTCAGAGTGTTAACCTACAATCAGCTCACTGGCTCCATACCTGCCAGCATTGGCTCTCTCACGGCATTGAGATCTCTGTAAGGCATCTCTTGTCGCTCGCGCCTTGCTCACTTTGTCGTTACCCCTGTTTTTTGATTCATCTCACCATTCCAACCACCCTGTCTGTCTGACAGCCCGCTCAGCAGCCGAGCCACAGCTACATCTAGTTTCTGGTTCCTCAGCCCCTCACTCCTATCAACGTTCTCTCCATGAAACGTTAGGCCCAAGAGTCACCTTTTGGCTATTCTTTCCAACACCCGTTCCCTTGGGATGATTTGCCCTACCGCCAGCGACCTCACACAAAACGCGCTCTCGGGGTCCATCCCTGCCTCCATCGGCTCCCTCACTGACCTCGGAGATCTGTAAGCCACACATCTTCGTGGTTACTAAGCCCAACTTAACACCGGCCTTTGAGATTGGAATGCCGAAGTTACTGCTAACCACTTGATACCAGTTTTCTCCCTTCATGTGCCACTCGTTGCGTTGTGTTGCCGCCCACTCATGCTGCTTCAGGGGCCTTGATTACAACAACTTCTCGGGCTCCATCCCTTCCTCTATTTCCCTACTTGGTTCTCTCTATACCCTGTGGGTGCTGCAGTGCCACTGACTGCCAGCCTGCCACTGTTGCTGCTGTGCCTGTCCACTGCTGCTGCTACCCCAGCCACCACAGCCAGCCCAATGTCCTTTTTTTTTTTTTTTTTTCTTAAGCTCTTTATCTGCCAATGCCAATGTTTTTAGTAAGAATGCCTTGTGGTAGCTGCCGCCCCCTCATTCTTCACTGTCTACCCACCACTCCACTGTCCCTGCTGTTTCTGCAGTGACCTGAGCTATAACCAACTGTCCGGCCCCATCCCCGATCAAATTGGTTCCATGACTTCCCTCAGCAAACTGTCAGTCACTCCACCTCATCTCCTTGCGTCTGTTCCCTTGCCCCTCCAGCTTTTCCTCGTTCATGCAAACCCTTTTCTTGTCCCGTGCATCCTCCGCCTCTCACTCACTCATTCTTGCATCGCATCCTTCCCATCCATTCCACTTGTGCCCTGTACGCCTCTCTCCCAGTGATCTTTCGGACAACCAACTTTCGGGCAGCATCCCTTCAACCTTGGGAGCACTCTCCTATATGGGATACCTGTGAGCTGCACACAACACCCCTCTCACAGCTATTGTATTTCAAAACCCTGCAGTTAAGATATTGTTTGACGGTGTTGACCCTGTGTCAAAGCGAAGGAAGTTTAGGGTCTGAGAAGGTTAGTGGCAAGATCTGTTTTGTTGTGGCAAGAATAGAGGTCAATCTCCTGCTTTCTTTTCTGTGCCTGCCCAATGTTGCTGTTTTCTCCATGTGCTCAATGTTGCTAGCAGTCTGCTATCTTTCTTTCTCCTCCCGTGTGCATCCTCATCTTAACGTTTGCTTATGCATTCGATCCTTCAATCCGATTCTTTCACCTTCGATCCTTCGATCTGATTCTCCCACCTGCAATCCCTGCAGAGACCTTTCAAATAACCAGCTTTCACGCATCCCAGCCTCTTTGGTTGCACTCGACCTAATGTCTGTCATGTAAGACAACACAGACAATGCTTTGTTGTTGTTGGGTACTTATTTTCCGTCAAGTATGCTGGGGGTTTAGTTCACTAGTTTATTTATGAGTTGTATGTCTGTTTACATAATAATAATGTAAATATTGAGCTGAGGACGGCGTTTTTTTTTTGTTTTGTTTTTTTTTGTTTATATTGCGCCCGGGATTTTTTTTTCTCGGCCCGGAAAAGCGTATTTCTAACAAGACACTTAAGCGTATAGCGTTTTCACGCTAGCGTACACACGATACGCAAATAAGCGCTCAATTAGTATATTCCAACGTGGATGGCAAACAGGTAAACATGTACATGACGGGTTTAAGGCGGCAAACAGTGGGTACTGTGCTCGATGTTGGTTGGTGGGATGCCCGCGTGGATAGGCATCTTGGCACGCTTGAGAGCGATGTGCTCTCATGGCTCCCAAACAGTGCATACTGTGCTGGTGCTCCATGGCTTCAGGCAGTGCTCTCTAATAAGACCGAGCTCGAGGCATTGCTCTCTGACAAGACTGAGCTGCTGTTGAGACAGATGAGGAGAAAAGGAGGTGGAATAAGTTGATAACATGAGCTGCTGTTGACAACAGTAACATCATAGCTCATGTCTAGATTCTAACCGGTATAAAGTTAATATCATACCTGCATAAAGTTCACCGCACACCATTGATACACACCAAACCAACTGTCTAGCAACAAACATCTATGTAGCAACTGCTTATCATCTCATTTCTGCTCTTCTCTCTTTTCTTGCTTCTCTTTTCGACTATTTCACCATCCTTATGTTTCCGACTCACCACCTCCAGTGCTTCCCAATGCCCGATTGGATGAACCCCCAAACCACCAGGTCCCTCAATTACAACAAGCTCTCTGGACCCATCCCTGACAACATTGGCAATCTCACGAGCCTTGTATATCTGTACGCCACACTCATATTTTTCCTGATGAACCCCCTGATTCCCTCCAATTCCATTTACTTGCACTACTCCCCTTCGCCTTACCTTTGCCGTCCCTCCATGCTGCTGCAGGGGCCTTCGTTCCAACAATCTCTCGGGCTCAATCCCTCCCTCCGTTTCCCTGCTGCAAAATATCAATGCACTGTGGGTGCCGCACTGCCACTGCCATTCCCTCACTGCTGCTTCTGTGCCTCTCTACCACTGCTGCTACTCCACCCTCCATACCCAGCCAGCCCAATGCTCTGTGCAATCTCAACAGCTTCAACTTTCAATTCTGAAACATTTTGAATTTCAGTTTTTGTTTCATTGTCCATCGTCCAATCCACTGTCTCTGCTGTCCACAATCCAATCCACTGTCTCTGCTGTTCCCCCAGCGACCTGAGCTACAATCAGCTGTCTGGTCCCATCCCCAAAGAGATTGGTTCCATGGTCGCCCTGTACAAACTGTCAGTGACTCCCCTCCACCACACGTCTTTTGCATCCTTTCCCTTGCCATGCCTGCCTACCTTTCCTCGTCTATGCACAGCAAATGCTTGTCCCATGCATCCCCGGAGTCTCACTCACTCATGCTCGCCTCACTTCCTCTCCTTCCGTTGTTCCTCTACTGTTCTTCATAATTATTAGTCTTCTATTGTGCCTTTTGTCCAGATTTTTCCCTCTCACCTTTTTCTTCTCACCTGCTGTTATACCTTAATTCTGATGCGTCCATTCCACCCATGCTCTTTTGCAGGGACCTCTCAAACAACAAGCTTGAAAGCGTCCCTTCCACGTTGGGTGCACTCAGCGTGATGACTTTCTTGTGAGCTACAGGCGTGCAGCTGGAATTGTAGCGGCATTACTAAACAGGACGCACCATTGATATATACCGAGCGTTTAGCTTGTATTCGTGTAGGCATGAGCATTTGCCTCGGCCCGACCCGACTTGGCCGGGCCAAGCAGGTTTCTGGGCCGGGTCGGGTCGGGCCAGCCTTGGGCCAGAGTGTTGAATACCCTGACCCGATCCAGGGTCGGGTCAGGGTTGACCCTATCTCGGGTCGGGCCGTCCCGAGGTCAGGTCGGGTCAGGGAAACCCGCTTTCGCCTGCCCCTCTGCAGATCAGCGATTTCGCGCGCCAATCTGCGCAGATCGGCCATTTCGCCTGCCGATCCGCGCAGATCGGCGATTTTGCTGGTCAACCTCATTTCGCTGTGAGGAAGCGAGGAACCCCTCCTCCCCGTCAGATTTGTTGGAATACAAAATCCCAACCAATTTGCCTCCACTTACCACTCGTCACCGCACTGGATCTACACAACTCAACCCCCCAATGCAATTTGACAGCTCAAGACATTCAGCTTAGGTAGGTTCCGCGGGACTGATGTTAGGGTTTTCTCTAGGGTCGAAGCTGGGTCGGGCCTGACCGACCCGAGTTCCCATCCCAGTTCCTGAACCAATTACGGGTCGGGTCAACACAGGCCAAAAGCCCGGCCCGACCCTGCCCGAGTTCCCTGCTCGGGTCGGGTTTTAGGCCGGGCCGGGTCGGGCCGACCCGCCCGGGGCAGGCTATTGAAACCCCTGACCCAAACCCCTCTCCCTCCCCCCCCCCCCCCCCCCCCCCCCCCTCTCTCTCTCTCTCTCTCTCTCTCTCTCTCTCTCTCTCTCTCTCTCTCTCTCTCTCTCTCTCCCCCTCTCTCTTCGTTCCTTCGAAAAACCTTTTTTCGCTTCTCTTATTCACCATTTCACCATCCTTTTGCCTCCGACTCACCATCTCCAGTGCTTCCCAATGCCCGATCGGATGAACCCCCAACCACCAGGTCCCTCTCTTACAATGAGCTCTCTGGACCCATCCCTGACACAATCGGCTCCCTCACCAGCCTTGCAAATCTGTGCGCCACACTTTACCTTTTCTCGATGCCCAGGCATCAGAAATTCTATTGGGACCACTTGCCACTAATTCACTCCCATCCCATTTATGGCTCTATATCCTTTGGTGTTGTTTTTTTGCCGCCCTCCCATGCTGCTGCAGGGGGCTTAGTTCCAACAAACTCTCGGGCGCCATCCCTCCCTCCATTGCCTTGCTGAAAAATATCAATGCACTGTGGGTGCCGTGCTGCCACTGACAGTCGATCACTGCTGCTGCTGTGCCTCTGTGCCACTGCTGCTACTGCACCCTCAACGGCTTGAGCTTTCATGTTTGAAATCATTTTATATTAAACCCCTAATTTGTTATTCTTCGTTTTCCGTAATCAAATCCACTCTCTGCTGTTCCCTCCAGCGACCTGAGCTACAACCAACTGTCTGGTCCCATCCCCATGGAGATTGGTTCCATGGTCGCCATCACCAAACTGTCAGTCACCCTCCTCCACCACAACTCCTTGCAACCTTTTCCCTTGCCATGCCTTGTCAAGATGAACTAAGGAGGTATGGATGATGAGAAGGAATGTTGGACGAGATCCATTTGGGTGAAAAAGCTGGAAAAACCTAATTGGACTTAGGGCGTGTTCAGTTGATGCTAAAACCTATAAATTGAAACTAATCTGAGCTCTTAAGTGTATCTCGCTTTAAACATGGCAAAATATCAAGATAACACCATGACAAATACCAGCGCTAGCTCTACCTCTCACTTGTGCTTGCCTCACTTCTCCTTTCGTTCTTCCTCTTTCCTGCACGCCTTTCTCCCAGTGATCTTTCGGACAACCAGCTTTCAGGCAGCATTCCTTCAACCCTGGGAGCACTCACTCAAATGGTCTTCCTGTGAGCTGCACACAGTGCCCTGTCACAACCGAGATTTGATTGTGTGAACCTGTGTCAAAGTGTGGGCATTCAGGAGCCATGGATGATTTTGGCTAAAGAAGTTTGTTGTCAAGTGGAGTAAGATTAAACTTCAAATTAGAGATGATGCCCCAACCAAAGTCCACGGCACGTTCATTGTCGGATACGAACAAGAAATCGACATTCAACAGAATCTCGGTTCAAAGATTGCAAAAAAATGAAACTGGGCCATAATAAATGTTAAAGCAAGCGTTAACCAACTACAGCACCCACCCATTTCACATACATGAACCAAACACACCAATGAATATTATTTCGCTCCTCGTTGTTTGTTCATTATTACTAACCTTTCATCATGCTTTTTGCCCTGATTTTTCCCTCTCACCTGTTTCTTCTTCTCACCTGCTGTTATACCTTCCATCTGATGCTTCCATTCAATCCATGGTCTTTTGCAGGGACCTCTCAACCAACAAGCTTGAAAGCGTCCCTTCCACTTTGGGTGCACTCGTTGTGATATCATACATGTAATCTACATGCATGCAGCTGTAATTGAAACATCATTATTGAACCAGATGCACAATTGATACACACCAAGTAGGGTTGAGCAAGGTAACGATGTGAGGCGAACCGAACAGGATTTTTTTTTGGCTAAAAATGTTCGTGGCCAACGTGTTCGGCGTTCGCCCGAACACGTTCGGTGTTCGTCTCGTCGTGGGTGCCGAGCCGCGACGAACACGAACACATTCGTGTTCATTTCGGGGCAAAAACAATCACGAATGTGTTCGTTGCAACTATCCCGCGATATACAATTTAGGTTGCGGGACATTCTGTTTGAGCTCAAATTTGAGCTCAACTCAAACTTAGTCGCGCTATTCAGCAGCAGCCATTACTACCACGGCTCCCACACATCACGCCATTATCACCTCATTAGGACTTAGCGTAAGTAAATTGTTACCTTAGGTTAGTTTGACTAGACCTGGGTAGGTGAGATTTAGGTTGTCGGGAAGGGATTAGACAGGAATACTGCAGAATCTCGTTAGTTGGGGGTTGGGGGTAAGCATTCGCAAATTTCGTATGCATAGGGTTGGGGAAAGCATTCGCGAATTGCGTAAGTTGGGGATTGATAGGAATAGCGTTCGCATTTTTCGTAAGTTGGGGGATTGTGGGGGGGTGGCGAGCAATCGCAAATTTCGTAGATCTAGAGCGGGGAGAGCATTTCGCCTTACGTGGGGGGGAAATCCAGGTGGCGAGCTGGATAAGCAAAAATATGGATCCCTAACTAGCATAAGCCAGATCCAGCCTATATTTTTTCCCCCAGTTTCCCGCAATTCCCCTGCCCGCCGTTGCGTATTTAGAGCGTAACAGAGGATACCCAAAAGCGAATACGAACGTGTTTGCCACGAACACGTTCGTGTTTGCCTCCGAAATCAAGGTGAGAGGGGCGTAGAAACGTGAAAGCTAATGGCGTTTGCTGCTTCACGTACCTTCACAGGCGAACGGGGAACACCTTTGTTTTGCAAAAGGTGTTCGGCGAACCGAACAGTGTTCGGTTCGCCGAACGGCGGTGTTCGTGCAGGGGGCGAACGCGAACACGTTCGTGTTCGCCTCTTGCTCATCCCTAACACCAAGCGTTTAGCTCTTATTCGTGTACCAACTGTGAGTCTAATACATGTAACATGCGATCGGAGACTCCATGATTATTGTTGTTCTCTCTCCTCGCCTAGCCTATCTCACCATCCGTTGCACCCTGACTCACCATCGCCAGTGCTTCCCAATGCCCGATCGGATGAACCCCCAACCACCAGGTCCCTCTCTTACAACAAGCTCTCTGGACCCATCCCTGACTCCATCGGCTCCCTCACCAGCCTTACAAATCTGTGCGCCACACTTTGCTTCTTCTTGATGCCCATGGTTCAGCAATTTTGATTGGGGTCCACCTAAAGGGCGCCTAAATTGTTCAAGCTAATTTAGCTTGGCCGTTGGGTGATGGGGTGTTGAAAGAAACTGTCGAGACTGGCTTTGGGTGAGGGTGTTGGATGTCGCCCAAGCTCTTGCAATCCTGGTTGTACCGTCGCTGATTCAGCGAGAGTACCAGATTGCTTGTTGCATCTTAAAATTTTCAACAGTTTTCGCTGCTAACTTATGAGAAACAGAGCCTCACCCAATCAGATCCGTTCGTACCGTTTCGCAAAAAAACACCCAAAACGCTAACCCTTCAAGATTAATAAGGTTGCCCCCCCACGGCTCGCAATTTGGGCTGCGGGCTTTAACACTAATTCCCTCCCATTCCATTTACTGGAACTTCTCACTGTGGCTCAAATCTCCCATGGCACTTTTTTGACGCCCTCCCATGCTGCTGCAGAGGCCTTATTTCCAACAGTCTCTCGGGCTCCATCCCTCTTTCCATTGCTTTGTTGAAAAATATCAATGCACTGTGGGTGCCACGCTGTGCCAGTCCCTTGCCGTGCCTCTCCATCACTGCTGCTACTCCACCCTCCACAGCCAGCCAGCCTGATGCTCTAATTTATGTCAACAACTTGAACTTTCATTTTTGATTCATATTTGCTGTCCGTCATCCAATCCACTCCACTCTCTCTTCCATCCCCCCAGCGACCTGAGCTTCAACCAGCTGTCTGGTCCCATCCCCAAGGAGATTGGTTCCATGGTCACCCTCTCCAAACTGTGAGTCTCTCCCCTCCACCATACCTCATGGCATCCTTTCCCTTGCCATTCCAGCCTGCCTTTCCTCATTTATGCCCTGTCCCGTGCATCCTCGGAGTCTCATTCACCCGCACTCGGCTCACTTCCTCTTCTTTCTTCCTCTGCCCTGCACCCCTTTCTCCCAGTGATCTTTCAGACAACCAGCTTTCGGGCAGCATCCCTTCATCCTTGGGAGCACTCACTCAAATGGTCTTCCTGTGAGCTGCACACAACACCCTGTCACAGCCGAGAATCGATTGGCGAAACAAAAATGGTTGTCAAATAAGATTGAGATTCAAAGTGCAGGCGATACGCCAAATAAAGGAAAGGGCAAATATGAACAGAGAAATTCAACCCAAACGAAATTCTGAATTCAAGGATGACCCAAAAAATCGCAAATGATAAAGCAAGCGCTCTCCAACCACAACACTTACCCAATATCCTCCAAGCCTCACTCATTTGTGCACCTCAATTCCTCTCCTTCCTTCCTCTGTCCTGCACGCCTTTCTCGCAGTGATCTTTCGAACAACCAGTTTTTGGGCAACATCCCGACAACCCTTGGAGCACTCAAACAAATGGGATTCCTGTGAGCTGCATGCACGCAACATCCTTTTGCAGCCGAATAGTGGTTGTACAAGCCTGTGTGAAAGTAAAGGTAGTTGAGAGCCATGGAAGGTTGGCTTGGTGGTGAAAGAAGCGGATTCAGACTCGAACTGCCGGTGATCCCCCAACTGAAGGTTAGAGCATGTTCAGTATAGGATTCGGATAAGTTACAGAACCCAAATAGAATTTGGGTCCAAAGGTGGCCAAGAGGTATAATCAGGCTTTCACAAACGATAAAGCGAGCGTTAACAAGCTACAACACCCGCCCACATCTCACACATCACGAATTTCCCACTTCCAAATTCTTGTTCGCTTCTTGTTGTTTGTGTAATTCTAGTCGTCCGTCATGCTTTTTGCCCGGATTTCTCCTTCTCACCTGCTGTTATGCCTTCAGTCTATCTGATGCTTCTATTCCACCCACTATCTTTTCCAGGGACCTCTCAAACAACCTACTTGAAAGCGTCCCTTCCACTTTGGGTGCACTCAGCGTGATGTCTTACATGTGAGCTACATGCATCCAGCTGGAACTGTAGCGAAATTGTAAAACCAGACGCACCATTGATACACAACTAACACTTGGCTTGTATTTGTGTACAGAGTGTAATTCCTATATGTTTAGCACGCGATTGGAGTCTCCCTTTTATCACTCTTCTCTCTTCTTGTGTCGCCCACTTCACCATCACTCACCTCACCATCGCCTCCCTCCCCGAATGCCCGATTGAATGAACCCCCAATCACCAGGTCCCTCTCTTACAACAAGCTGTCTGGACCCATCCCTGACACCATCGGCTCCCTCACCAGCCTTACAAATCTGTACGTTACACTTTTCTGCTGTTCCTAATGCCCAAAGACCAGGATTCTTTGTGGGAACCACTTTGATATAATTATCTCCCATCCCATTTACTGAGATCCACTCCCCTTGGCTTTGGTTTGCCTTCCTCTCATGCTGCTGCAGGGGGCTTCGTTCCAACAAACTCTCGGGCGCCATCCCTCCCTCCCTTGCCTTGCTGAAAAAGATCAACACACTGTGGGTGCCGCGCTGCCACTGCTAGTCCGTCACTTCTGCTGCTGTGCCTCTCCACCACTGCTGCTACTCCATCCTCGACGGCTAGCCAGGCCAATGCTCTGTTTAATCTCAACAGCTTCAAAATTCATGTTTGAATCCACTGTCTCTGCTGTTCCCCCAGCGACCTGAGCTACAACCAACTGTCTGGTCCCATCCCCACGGAGATTGGTTCCATGGTCGCCCTCACCAAACTGTCAGTCCTCTCCTCCATTGCAGCTTATTGCACCCTGTTCCTTTCATGTTAAGATAGCCCAAGAGAGGCCTAAGAGAGTAGGTAGTTAGGTTGATAGACTGAACTAGAGAGTTTGTCGAGATACATTTGAGCAAGAAACCAAACTTAAATCTACAAGTATAACGTGCTTAGGGTGTGTTCAGTTTGGGGTAAAATCTACAAAATGAACCTAAACTTAAACCTAAAGTGTAGAATAAAATAAATTGCACCATGATAATTATCAGAGAGAAGACTAGCCTATGCCAACATTTTACGCATGTCTTTCTTTCGTTTATGCACACCCGATTCTTGTCCCATACATCCTCAAACCCTCACCTCACTCACTCGTGCTCGCCTTACTTTCTCTTCTTGACTTTCTCCTCTGCCCTCCACGCCTTTCTCCCAGTGACCTTTCAGACAACCAGCTTTCGGGCAACATCCCTTCAACCTTGGGAGCACTCATTCAATTGGAATTTCTGTGAGCTGCGCACAACTCCCTTTCACAGTCGTTAATCGATTGTACAAACCTGTGTAAAAGAAATGGCAGCTACGAGCGGCAAAAGTAGTTAGTTGTCAAGTGCGATTAAGATTCAATCAAAGTGCCAGTGATACCCTAATATAAGCCTAGGGCATGTCCAGTACAGGACGTAAAAAAGATGAACCCAAATAGAATCTGGGTCCAAAGATGACAAAAAATGTAATAGGGCCATCGCAAACGACAAAGCAATGTTGAAACTACTACAACTCTCACCCAATTCACATACACCAAACAAATACACTGAACATTTTGATTCACCGTTTTGTTTTTGTTTTGGTTTGTTCCTTGTTTGCTCATTACTATTAGTCTTCCATAGAGCTTTTGACATGCTTTATCCCTCTTGCATGTTTCTCCTTCTCACCTGCTGTTATGCCTTCAATATTTTGCAGGGATCTCTCAAATAACCAGCTTGAAAGCGTCCCTTCAGCTTTGGGTGCACTCAGCATGATGTCTTACATGTGAGCTACATGCATGTAGCTGGAATCGTAGCAGCTTTTTCCAGCCGGACACACCATTGATACGCACCAAGCATTTAGCTTGTCTCCGTGTACCAACTGTGAGGCCATACATGTAACATGCTATTGGAGTCTCCATTTTACCAATTTTCTTGCTTCTCCCCTTGCCTATGTCATCATCCCTTTACCTCCGACTCACCATCACCAGTGGTGCTTCCCAATCCCCGATCGGATGAATCCCCAACCACCAGGTCCCTCTCTTACAACAAGCTCTCTGGACCCATCCCTGACACCATCGGCTCCCTCACCCGCCTTACAGATTTGTACACTACACTTTGCTTTCTCCTGATTCCGGCCTGACCCAGGCTCTCACCCTGCTCAGCCCATGTTCAACCCTACGCAATAAGCTCATGTTTTGCTAGTAACCATCACTTCCATGTCACAATCGGTTTCTAGAACCTTCAGCATTCCTGAACCACCTTCTTTCTGTGCACATTGTGCACATACGTCTGTTTTTCAGCACCATTTTCTGGTGCTACGCCCCTTGGTGTTGTTTTTTGGCGCCCTCCTATGCTGCAGGGGCCTTAATGCAAACAAACTCTCGGGCGCCATCCCTCCCTCCATTGCCTTGCTGAAAAATATCAATGACCTGTGGGTGCTGCGCTGCCACTGCCAGTCCGTCACTGCTGCAGCTGTGCCTCTCCACACCCAGCCAGCCCGATGCTCTGTTTATTCTCAGCAGCTTAAACTTTCACTAATTTGGAATTTTACTGTTGCTTTCTTTCTGAATCTGCTGTCCATGAACCAATCCCCTGTCTCTGCTGTTCCCCCAGCGACCTGAGCTCCAACCAACTGTCTGGTCCCATCCCCAAGGAGATTGGTACCATGACCGCCCTGACCAGACTGTAAGTCACTTCCTTCCTCGACACCTTGTTGCATCCTTCCCCTTGCCTCATCCCTACCTGCTGTTCCTCGCACTCAATTCTTGTGCCATGCATCCTCCGAGCCTCACTCACACGAGCTCGCCCCACATCCTCTCCTTCCGTTCTTCCTCTGTCCTGCACGCCTTTCTCCCAGTGATATTTCGGACAACCAGCTTTCGGGCAGCATCCCTTCAACCTTGGGAGCACTCATTCAAATGAAAATCCTGTGAGCTGCACATAACACCCTCTCACAGCCGAGAATTCACTGTGCAAACCTGTGTCAAAGTGGAGGCAGTTAGAGCAAGGCTAGAACATGTTCAGTATAGGATATGCAGAAGAACATGAATCCAACAGGAGAATCGTCCAAACGATGGCAAAAAAATGTAATAGGGCCATCACGATTGAAAAATCGAGCTTTAGCAATTTCTACAATCCCACTTCCCATTTCTGTTTCCTCCGTGTTTTATGATTTACTACTAGTCTTCCATCGTGCTCTCTCTCTCTCTCTCTCTCTCTCTCTCTCTCTCTCTCTCTCTCTCTCTCTCTCTCTCTCTCTCTCTCTCTCCCCCCCCCCCCCCCTCCCCTCCCCCCTGTTTGTCCTTGTCAACTGCGGCTTTGGCTTCAACTTGGTTTCTTTTGCAGGGACCTCTCAGACAACCAGCTTGAAAGCGTCCCTTCCACTTTGGGTGCACTCGGCATGATGTCTTTCATGTAAGCTACATGCATGCAGTTTACTCGCCATTGACACACGAAACATTTAGCTTGCAGTCGTGAACCAAGTCGGAGTCCATGCGAGTGCAGTCTCAAAATCTATTGCTTCCCCTCGCCTATGTCACCATCCTTTTGCCTCGGACTCACCATCGCCAGTGCTTCCCAATGCCCGATCGGATGAACCCCCAACCACCAGGTCCCTCTCTTACAACAAGCTCTCTGGACCCATCCCTGAAACCATCGGCGCCCTCACCAGCCTTACAAATCTGTACGCCACACTTTGCTTTTTTCCTGATGCCCATGGATTAAAAAATTAAATCTGGGGACCACTTAATCCCATTTACTTTCACTACTCCCCTTGGCGTTGTTTTTTTGCCGCCCTCCCATTCTGCTGCAGGGGCCTTCATTCCAACAAACTCTCGGGTGCCATCCCTCCCTCCATTGCCTTGCTGAAAAACATTAATGCACTGTGAGT